CACGGTATTGAAAAAGCGGGAGGGCGAACGGCTTCAACAGCACGACGCCGTATTGATCAGCAGAGCCGAAGAATAAAGCCCCGATAAAACCTTGGTCGAGCCTTCTTGTCTCTCTCGGGTTGTCTCTCGTGGTGTAGGTACTTGCTCTCTTTCTTTAGGTCTTTAAAGTTTGTTTTTCTTTTTGTTTTTCTTTTTTTTTTCCATTCAGTAATTCATTTATCCGTCAAATGATTATTTGGGATTCTGGGTTTTTTCTTCCATGTTCAGTTTTTAATGTTTTTTGGAGGAGCTTCTTATACAACACACTGTTGTTTTCCTGAAATTTTGTATGTTTATGATTCTTTTATAGGTATGTCAATTTGTTTTCTTCTGGGTTTATATTATGTTTGAACTAGGTCCATGGTCAGTTTTTGTTGTGCTTCGAGAAGATTTTCTTTGATATGGTGTACCACATTTGTCATATTAGTGGTAATTAAACGAGGAGCATCAGAATCAGAATCAGAATCAGAATGGGAGATAGCTCTAAGTCAAATTAGAAATATCCTTTAATGAATTTCATTTAGTGTTCCAATTCCATTTTGGCAAATGCAGACTTGGCGCTGTTGTCAATTGGGATTGGTTACCTTTAAAGTTTCCATAACTGCAAACCGTTGTCTTGTATGTTATTAGTATTTTTACATGTGGTTTATGTTATATCACTTCGATTCTTGCCTGAATTGAATCATTAGATCCATAAATAGCATTGGACTGAATGATTTAACTCATAATACAATTGATAGAACTAAGAACTCTCATGTTCTTTTATTTTAGTATTAATAGGTGTATATCCATACAATACTTGTAAATATGTAATTGTTGATATAAATTAGAGAGGGAGAAACATGTTGTTCATCATAGCAATACAAGTATTTAGGGATATATCTTGAGGATAGGGGTATAAGTATTTTGTTTAGAAGAATTGGTGGATAATTTGTATTCAGGAGATGAGCTCAAATATGCAAGGAAAGAAGATGTTAAATGGGTATTCTTGAGGCTGATGAAGTACACATGAGAGTGGTCTATGATTTACTAGGCTTGACACGCTCGCGTTGTGATCTAAATGTGTGTCTCTTTAAGTTAAGGATTTTAACAATGGAGACATATTGTTCGTAGAGCCTGGTTGTTGATTTAAGTTGTGGAAACTAAGAAAAGATGAGGGCGAAGGAAGAAAGATTGAAAACTCTCTTAAGTTGTATGATGGGAATTGTGAATCTTACTCATGCTATACACTCCATCTATGTAAGGAAAACATGCGTAAGGTGTAGTATAATCCGGATTAATTGAGGAATCTAACATTTTTTTCAACTTTTTAGATTTATATGGGCCTGTATGCCTAGGGATTTAGAGTTATTCCCTTCTTCTGAGCAAATAAAATATTAGTTGTTGTTCTCTTTTCTTTGACTAAGAAAAGAATTTGCATGTCTCACCGTCCTTATTGTGGTATACTAGTATTATAGGCAAAGATTGGGAGATCACTTGTTTTGCAAAGATGTCATAAGACACTGCACATATAATTTCTAAAGAAAAACTATTATTTATTATAATCTGAATTATGCATCATGTTTGTTGTGTGCCTATAATCACATTATTGATATTTCAAATGCTGTGCAAGGAACGATTTTACCTAATATTTTGCCATCATTTTTTTTTATATAAAACAGCGAGATGTGTGTCCATGAATCATTGAGGTTCTGAAATCAGATTTATCTAATTTATATTCTTTATTTGAGTGGTTTCTTATTTGTTTATTTCATGTCTGATGTTCTTCATATTTTAGCTTGGAGTCTGAATAATCATCATTGACTCTGCTAATCTGAAAAATGGATATTGATTCGAAATCACACGAGGATCCTGCACCTATTATGCAAATGGACACTGAGGTAATTAGTTGATTTGCAAATTCTTCATTCAAAATTTGCTAAATACTTTATTCTTACTATGTTCATCACATTTTTTATTTGTTTGTTTCAAGTTGAAGAGTAAAGAAACAGATCACATTTCCAAAACGATGGAGAAACTAAATATAGCGGAACCATCTTCAAGCTTTAAGAGAAAACCAGTTGTCATCATTGTTGTTGGAATGGCAGGTATTGTTGTATTATATTTAGCAAGTGTAATTTGAGGTTACCTTAATATTCAATCTATTTTGTGTGTGTGTGGGTTCATTAGAATTTCCTTATAATGGTCCCACGACATGTGTGGATAATAAATGGGCATTAGTTTTGAATGTGTGGTTAAAATTAAAGTTTGACTAGAAATTATAATGTTTCCTAAACATACTCTTTTTTGTAGTCTGAATATTTATGGAGAGACTTTTGAATATAATAGGAAGTGGAAAGACTACATTTCTGCACCGTCTAGTCTGTCACACAAAGGCATCAAATATTCGGGGTTATGTTATCAATCTTGATCCTGCTGTGTTGAGTCTTCCATATGGTGCAAATATTGATATAAGGGACACTGTTCGGTACAAGGAAGTCATGAATCAATTCAATCTAGGGCCCAATGGAGGAATTTTGACTTCACTTAACTTGTTTTCTTCAAAGTTTGATGAGGTAATGCTTTTCTTGAGATTTCTAATTTTATTATTGTCAATTTGTTTACGTTTGTTATCACAATGAATGACGGTGAGCCAGTGACCATTATCTTTACAGTTATATCTAACCACTATGGAATGTGAAAGAAGTTCATATAACAACCATTGCTTATTCTTACAATGGTAGCAAATCACTTTGGAATTTGAAAGTTCTTTTAACAAATAACTAGATTACATCACATGGGTAGCTATGCACATGCTATTCCTCAAAACTTATTACTCAAGTTGAAACTTTGACCGTCAATAATTTTTCAGGCTCGTTCCTTAGAAATCAGAAATTTTTTTAAGCATAAATCTCTCTGTCATGAATCATTTTAACGAAATTTGCTTAGCTCTTAATTTGGCTTGGTGTTTTTGTGCACCGGCTTCTGAATCTGAGGTATGCCAACTTTACATCTGATGCTCAAGGTTGAATAACGCTTGCATCTGAACAAGATATTGAATTTTCTTATTTTGAATAATGATAAACTGCCGTTACTAGTTGTTTCGAGTTGGTTTTGACAGAATCCCAGCACTTTTTAGGGAAGAACTTATTCTCACCTTATTAATAATTCTGAACTCTGATCCGGGCTAAACTCATTGTAGTCTAATGTATGCTAAATTTGTTTAATTTAAAATCATTTTGTACCTAATTAGCATGAAAAGATAGCGACGCCGATACGTGTGGTTCACCATTCCTCATTTGTGCAAGGAGTCAACATGTAGCTAATCATTTCTTAATTTTCAGTGATCTTTGTGGGCACATGAATTAGGCACTGTGTCCTTGTCTTTATTATCAAATACATGAATGGGGGAAGGACCTTAAAGTATTCTTAGTGTCGAATTGCAGGTGATATCAGTAATCGAGAAACGAGCTGATCAGCTCGACTATGTTCTGGTTGACACTCCTGGCCAAATTGAGATTTTCACTTGGTCTGCATCTGGAGCGATTATTACAGAAGCTTTTGCTTCAACATTTCCTACAGTGATTGCTTATGTTGTCGATACGCCACGCTCAGCGAGTCCAGCTACCTTCATGAGCAATATGCTATATGCCTGTAGCATCCTCTATAAGACCAGATTGCCAATGGTACTGGTGTTTAACAAGACAGATGTGGCTCAACATCAGTTTGCTATAGAGGTACATTTAACTCTCGATTTAGTTGACAATTCCATAAAATTAATATCAATTTATAGGCCTAAATCCTTGTTATTGTCGCAAATAATTCCTGGTCAGCTTATTTGCTAGTCTTTTCACTTTTCTGAGTGTAGTGGATGGAAGATTTCGAAGTATTTCATGCGGCTCTAGATTCGGATCACTCTTACACATCTACCCTAACCCGTAGTCTGTCCCTTGCTCTGGAGGAGTTCTATAAAAATCTCAGATCCGTTGGAGTTTCTGCAGTGTCCGGTGCTGGAATGGATGCATTCTTCAAGTCCATCGAAGATAGTTCCGAAGAATACATGGAAACTTACAAGTACTGATTCCTACTTCATAATCTCTCTGTTTTCTTTGCTCTGTTTAGATAAAACTAGACATTTTTTTTTTCGAATGAAAATTGCCGTTGAAAGTCACTCTCGCTTCCTTGATAGGGCTGATCTTGACAAGAGACGGGAAGAGAAGCAGCGCTTGGAGGAAGAACGTAGAAAGGAAAACATGGATAAGCTGAGAAAAGACATGGAGAAGTCCGGGGGGGAAACTGTGGTATTGAACACTGGTTTGAAGGATGTAAGACCAGACGATAAGAGCATGGTGATTGATGAAGACGAAGAGGTGGAAGATGAAGATGACGATTATGATAGGGTCAGTGAGGATGATGCAGATACCATAGATGAGGATGAAGATGAAGACGAAGAAGTTGCCAGTTTTGCCTTTTGAGGAAATAGGTAATTTAAAAAATGAGCAACTTTTGTACTATATGACTAAATGAAGTAAATCAAAACTCTTGTGGAAGATACAGTTGTTATAGATAAGATTTAAATTTACTTCCTTAGCGTGTTGGATGGCTTATCATTTGTTTCCAATCCTCGATAAGGGTTATCGTCTTTCTAAGACACCTGTCAAGTCTTGAGTTCGTCTTGACGATGCTTGAGGCATTTAAGGTCGAGGAGCTTGAGGGTGCCCATATCCCATCTAAGTCAAGGCTTTGAGTGTACCTCATGTCAATTTCGACCGGCTCAATCTGTGGGCTAAGGCATGTTTTTGTACTCTACTCGAGTAGCATCAATGATAAATGTTAAATGAAATGCAAATATATTCAAAACAAATTGCAATCATTTCCGGTACTCGCTGTAAATGAAGGCAATTCCCATGCTTATCGACTTATTCAATAAAAAAACTACTTGAAACACCAAGCCTAGATGAAGTTTATTCATACCATGAAAATTAAGTGGCCATCTGCGTTCTTCCACGAGTCAGTTTTGAGATCAGATCATCACAACGATTCCGGTGATAATCAATCAAAATACACAGTTGTTTTATGGCCTCTCTTTTCTCCTCAGCCAGGGTCAAGAATCCCAAATCTTTCTTATTCATCTCTGTTTCTAAATCTCCCAATTTCTCATCCCGTTCTTTGATCATTTTATCGAGTTCTGTCATCTTCTCTTCCCCTTGTTTTACAATTTTCGCCAAAATGTCCTTCTCATTTGCACCCTTTAGCACTGTTGTCTCGAGTTCTCCAACCTTAGCTCTCAAAACCAACTCTTGTTCTTTCTTGTCTTTCAGTTGCTGAATAAAATTGGCAATTTCCATTTTTAGGTGATCTGTCTCACCATTACTCTCTCTGATCCAGTTTGTAGCAATATCAAGCTCGTTCATGACTTTGCAAATTCTAGACTCCAAGTGCCCATAGCATTCCTCAAACTTGACACTAAATGAATCAATTCCAGTCAACGTGTCATTTACCTTTTCTGATATCTCTTTTGCTGTGTTTAATTGAGCCTTTCGATAAGTTTCAATTGTTCCAGTCATCGTAGCAACCCTCTCTACAAGCAATTTTTGTTCTTCTTGGAACTTCTCTTCTTTGCTCCTGTGGCTATCTTCCTTCTCGGCAAGTAATTGTTCTGTGATCCGGAGCTTCTGACTTGTTAAACGAAGCTTAACTTCATTATTTCGGAGATTCTCTATCAAAGTGCTGACCTCGTCTCCTTTCATCTCTAAATTTCTCTTCAAGTCTTCTATATTTTCTTCCAATCGATCAATATCCTTTTGGAACTGCTCCTTAATCTCTTCTATCTTCCTCTCTGTCGTTTTAGGATTTTCCTCGGAGTTCTGAAACTGGACTTCTAGTTTTTTGTGCTCCTCACTCAATTTGACGAATGCATCTTCTTGATTTTTCAGCTTTTCATCCTGGTCTCTGATCTTGTTTTGTAATTCAGTATTCTGATACTCCAGTCGAGCCACAATTTCCATAGACTCCTGTTTACTTCTCTCAATTTGCACTTCCAATAGGCTTTTCTCGGACCACAAATGTTCCTTCTCCTCTAGTAAATGAGTAACCTCTTCTGACAGTGCAGTAATTTGGAAGGTTGCTTCATTTTGCACATTGTACAGTTTTTTCTGTAGGGCAATGAGTTCGTCCTCTCCCTTGGTTAATAGTTTTTGTAATTCGGAAATTTTTCTCTGTTGAACTGCTTTCTCCTCCCTCAATTTATTTTCCTCGTCCTGTATATTACTTGCTTGTTCGCCCAGTTCACTATTTTGAACTTTCAGTTTTTCCTTCTCTTCGTGCAACTGAATAGTATCCTGGCTTTTTGTCCTCAACTGCTCTTCCAATTCACCTTTCAGGTTACTTAGAAAGTTGATTTTAAGTTCTAGGTCCTTCACCAGTACTGCAAACTTTTCTTTCTCTTCCAATGTTTTCTGTTGCTCAGAAATCTTGTTCATCAACTCCTCTTTAATAGTCTCAATTTGAACCAGCAACTCGGAAGTTTCTTGAACTCTTGTCTTTTGAGACTGTTTTATCTCATCCTCGAGCAGTAAAATTTGCGAGGAAAGGGAATTGTTCTCCTCTTCAGTGGCCCTCTGTATCTGACTCAGCTTAGCTACTTCTTTTTCTGCAGATTCAAGTTGCCCTTTCAAAGTCGAAAACACCCCTCCTTTTGCCTCTAATTCCAGCTGCAGTGCTTCATTCAGGTGTCTTAACTGTTGGATATTGGTTCTCAAGTCTTCAGCATTTCTCTCCTCCTCTCCAGTGCTATATATCACGGCCTCATTCTCCCTAATTAAACTGTACGCAATCTCGAGTTCTTGCTTGGTGTTACCTGTGCCGTTGTTGAAATCATTCTCGAATTTCCCAAATTTTGTGCCATTTTTCTTTGGAGAATCATCTGAGCCAGAATCTGAGCTGGAGGATGAACTATACTTTCCTTGTTTGGCATGCCATCTTCTCCTCAACGCTTCAGTCAGATGATCATAACGATCAAACAACGAACAATACTGATTGTAAAAATCTTTTATCATATCCTTGAGTTTCTCTTTCCCATCTTTATCATCTTCCGTTTTAAGAATATTTAAGATCTTCTGAAATTTGCCCTCGATTTCTGCAGTGAACAGCAGTTTTATATGTCAACCATGGAAAATGTAATTACTAATGCCAAAAACGATGTACCTGATTTAGTTCCCTCGTCCTTTTCAGGATCGACATGACTCTGAAAAAAGGATTTAAACGATTTCCTCAAACTATGTTTCGGCATTTCTCAGCTTCTTGTTGGGTTGTGAATCAGTACGAGGCGGTTTTCATCTTGAATACCTGAAGTTGTAAATAACTGCATCAACATGTGAACATAACTGCAGTTTTCTCAAGCCCATGTCCTTTTCTCATTCTCATAACTCATAAAGGCCTAGAACTACATGGTCCACATTATTTAAGTAATAAGTAATTAGCTTAACCCCACTGCCATTGGAGAAGTCAAATGAGGAAATGCCCCAATAATAAAGTCAGTTAATGAATCTCGGATTATTAATGCACAAAAAATAATAATAAAATCATGGTACATGTACATCAAAATTGATATCCCGTGAGTTGACAGATTTTTTGTACATTGATTTTAAAAACATTTTTTTTTAATCAACGGTCAGATTTTTTAGACATAGTGGATGTCAACCTCGATGTCAACAAGGAATGTACAAAAAGTATAATTAAATAAAAAAAAAAAGATGAACACAAGTAAATAAATTATGATTTTTATATATTTTAACTAATATCTGCTGTATTTCATCTGAGAAGACTGTGCCAATGTTACCAGTGAGACTTTGAATTTTAGCATACATTAAAAATAGAAAATGGAAAATACTTTCTTTTCTGCTAATTTCAAACATAAGTTCTATTTTTTCGAGCTAATAACATAAAACAAACCTCATAAAGAAAAAAAAAAATCTGCTTGCATGATTCTGTTCAATAAATATATGATTTTGAAATACAAAAGAACATAAAATTCAAAAATTAATCTATAAATTATTAAACGATCCGATAAAAATAGTAGAATCGCCGGAATGAGAATTTTAAAATTCGACTGTGAATTAGCGATACACTGAAAACACAACTGACGAAGTCGCTTAACCCAGAACAGATTATTTAAATTGATTTTAAAGTACAAGTAAACAAAAATCTATTCTAATTACAAATTATATATTCCAATTCTTCTTCAGCTGGAAAATCATAATTAAGTATTAGCTTAATTGATCAAACAGAGCAGAGCAGAAACTGAAATCGTAAGCTGCTCTCGATAATTAGCATTAATTGAACTTATTAAACCAAGAAATTAATCATAATAAAAAAAAAGGTATTACCTGAAAAACAGAGCATAAAAAATCTCATATGAACACAGTAGAATCTTCAATCAGCTTGTCTTGAAATATATATGTGCGTGTGTACAGATAGAGATGAGACAATGAATTTTATAAGCTATTAAGTGAAGGTTTGGCACGGTTTTTTAAAAGTAAAAAAGAATAAAAAATTGTTTTTGGATGAATTTGGCTAATTTTATAAAAGTGTTAGTGAGAGTTAAAAGAGCTTATATAGAAAGTTAGTCAAATGTACTTTCTTTTAAAAGCACTTTCGAAATAGAAAATTGTTTTTAAAATTAATTTCTAAATAAAAATTAAGGCAGCTTCCTCCAAGAACTCTTCGACAAGAAGTAAAAGCAAAAGTCACGTCAAACCCTAAATTTATGGAACGTGCTACATTTGTGAGGAGGTGGAATTTGTCTCTTTTTTTAAAAAAAATTCTTTCCGCCCTTTGATTTCAATCTAATTACGAAAAGAGAAAAGCGTGAAGTAGTAGACGCGCCGATCAAATTTTGAGGTGACAGTTGATTCGTGTAAATTTATGAATGGTCCATCGATGTCGCCTGCTTTGAATTGGGTCGAGTTGGGCATATACATGTTTTTCTTTCTTCGTAAACCCACGTGGACCATTGCATGCTATAGATTATAATCGATATTATCCTATTGTAGGCAAGTTTGGCATATACGATAAGTAAACTAACTTGTGGACCATTTGATTGAGCCAATTTATTATAATTGAACTTATTTTTGGTCAAATGAGGAGGTCGGTTTTTAAAACATTGATAGAAGAGCATAGCTCACAAAAATCTCAACATTTTGTAATGAATGCACTGTTTGATCAAATGCCTGGTTAACTCTCAACTCTAGGTGTACATCTTTAGACTAAGTTCTGGTACAAAATTAGGCCTGCCCCAACAAAATTAGGTGGTATCTAACTATAATGGCAGGCCCCTAAAATCTTTATTCAACATAACAAACTGTTTTCATGTAGAAAGAATGAACAGAATTGGTAGTGAATGTTGACAAAAATGGCTAAAATCTGATAGCAAAAGTTAACTTAGATGTCGACTCGTCATCCTCCAACGTACCTAAGATGCCGTCCTCCGACAAGTTGGAGTGATATCGGACAACATTTTCTTGTAATAATCGGACCTACTGCGGTGATAGTCGATCCATACGCATAACTGCCTAATTGCCTCTCTCTTTTCCTCTTGAAGTATAAGCATGGCTTCTTCTTTCTCCTCCATCATTTTCTCCACTTCTCTCGCTTTATTTTCTGCCTTCCAAAGCCTCTCTCTGAATACTAGTATTTCTGCTTCCTTATCATCTAACTGCACGAGCAAACAATCTAAATCGTCCCTCATGTGTACTAATGTACTATTTTTCCTCATCGTCCAGTCCTTAGCGAATTTCAGCTCGCAAGAAGCTTTCGAAATTCGGTTCAAGAAATTTGCATTGCACTCTTCCAGCTTTAATGTCACTGTATCTAAGGAATTCAACATGTCCTTTGCTGCGTGTAATATATCTCGGTTTTCTTGTTCGTTCATTTCCCTTTTCTTCCTGTACCAATCTTTGTTCTCCATGTGCAATTGTTCTGCGACCCTAATTCTCTGGCTGAAGATTCTGAGATTGTCTTCAAACTGCTTTCTCAGCTCTTCTACCATTTCTTCAACCTTCCTTTCGGCTATCCGGAAGTTCGACTTGGAATATGCAAACCTTGATTGAACTTGTTTGTTTTCGTCTTTTAACTTGCTCACCATATCCTCCAGTTCTATCTGAATCCTCTGCTGATAAAAAATTTTGTTGTTTAATTCAATTATCTTTTTTTCTTTCTCAGATTTCTCTTTTTCAAGCTCTATCTGTAATCTGCTCTTCTCATTTTGCAAGGCATTCGACTCCAGCTGCAATCCGTCCTTTTCAGTTTGCAACGCATCAATGTGAGCAGAGACGGTGTTTCGGTAATCCTCAAGTTTCTGTTTTTGCGCAGCCAGTTGATTTTCTCTTTCTGAAAGTACTTTCTGCAATTCGAAATTTTTTGCATGCAGATCTTCTTTTTCTGCCTTTGATTGATAAGCTTCATGATTTATGCTCATTATCTGCTCTTCCAAATCACTCTTCTGACTACTTAAAGAATGAACCTCAAGTTCTGAATCATTCAAATTTTCGATCTTAATTAGGCATTCTGATGTTTCTTTTGATCTCATTTCAAGTTCTAACTCCAATCTAGCTTTCTGACTTCTCAAGCACTCCAGTTCCTGCTGCAAAAGATTAACTCCTTCTGTTAGGTCCTCACATGACAACTGTTCTTCCAGTTCATCTTTCTGAGCCTGTGAAGTTTTTATTTCGAGCTGCAGATTGTCCACCTGAGCCTCGAGGTTCTCAATTCTAGACAAATTGAACTTCTTATTTTCCTCGAATTTTTTTCTCACATCAGAAAATTGACTTTCTTTCTCTTTGAATATAGCTTCGAGCTCCAAAACATGAGCCTCCAATCTAGAATTTTGTACTTTCAATTCCTCAGCTTCATTCAACTTGCACTCAATTTCCTCCCCTAATTTTCTTTTTTGCGTTGACAGAGTTTCGGTCTCAAGCTTCCATTTTTCAACCTGGGCCTCTAACTCTTTTATGAGCGACATCAGTTCCTCTCTTTCAACCAATCTTCCTTTCAACAGGACAGACGAATCCAACAATATTTTCTTTGTACTTTCCGACTCAACATTTTGAATCCCGAGGTCCATAAGAATTTCCCTGGATTGCAGAAAATTGCTGAAAGATGACTCTGAACCTAAAATTATGGTTTCCTTCACTTCACTTCTACAAGTTAACTTATCCTTGAGGATAGTATCTTCAAAATCTGAAGTTTCACGTTCTTGATGATCACCATCTGGCTCTTCTGGACTCTCATCTGGAGAATAGTACGACTCTGAATCTGTAGTGGAAGCAGAACTTTCATAATCATCTCCACTAACCTGTTTCTTCACCTCTCCTCTTAAATCTTCATAAAGAGAGTATAAGGATTCATAATGATTCTGGAAATCTTCAACGAGGTGAACAAGTTCAGACTTTTTCTTCGGATTCCCATCTTTATTTCCTTGGTTTATATTTTTGGTTAGCTTCAGAATCCTTTTCACTTTACTCTCAATTTCTGCAATGAAAAGGGAACTTTGCATTTTAGATATGAACATCAATCAGCCTACTTTATTACTTTTTAAGGCAAAAACAATGGAGGTCGCACTGGAAATGCGCCAAATGCTACAAAGCTGGGCAAGTTTTGGTTTGATAACTGATTTCAAGACTTCAACTAAAGTTCATAAATGTACACTTTTAGAAATAAAATAGAATATCTCATAGTCAAACACACTTTCACAATAACAAGAATCAGTATTGTGTCTCTACTTGATAAGGCTAACACTACAATGTATAGAAAGAGAATTCTTCACAAGAAACTACCCCCCTGCAGCTGAATAAATTCACATATTTTCAATGTTTTATAGGGAAATATTCTCATGGATTCAGATATATTTCTTAAATTCAAGTTGAAACGCTTCTCAGCAAAGTATAAACATGTACTTTCTGAAGATTGTGTCAAAGTGAACGATGTGATCATGGATTTAATTTTCTAATTTTGGATGAAGTACGCACATTCTTTTGTACTTGGCTTCCAAGTTCACACAAGAATGCCTAATAAAAAAAAAAGATCCTTATTTCCAGTTGACCAAGACAGCTAACTCTGCACATTACTGAGAATGTTATCTTGCAATCCTGTAGTTTTAGTTTTAAAAGAAAACTTGTTTAGGTTGATTTAAAATCAGTGACAACTTGTACTCGCATTTTGCCTCGGGATTAAGCCCTTTTGAAGTCACACAAGGCTATGCTCATCATACATTGTAGCACAAGGCTATTCCTCGGGATTAAGCCCTTTTGAAGTAACACAAGTCTATGCTCATCATACATTGTAGCAGGATGAGCAACTTACTGCGGACAAGTTGCCATTCTGTGTACCCAAAACCACGGTCATGATAACGATGGGAATGATCAGGTGAACGAGCGGTAAAATGCATTGTTCTGTCCTTTAGGTCAGTATCCCACATTCTCCAATAAAATCGCAAGGTTTTGGAGATGATTGTTTACCTATTTTTATCCATTTCAGTCGCTCTTCTTTTTGAGGGTCGATATGGTTCCCAAAGATCTTCGTGGATTCCTTCCACAGGTGCTTTTCCATTTCTGCTCGAAAACGTAAGCAATCCGTCTGAATCAAAGCATAAAAAGGGAAACAGGACTACAATCATTAATTGTAAAAAAGTAATGAATCCAAGAATTATATGTTATGAACATAAAACTTTTACATTCAAACACAAGATGAAAATCCTCTATCAAATTTAAAGATGCAATCCTATGAATAAATATTTGTTATTTACCAATTGCCCGATCGCATTACTTAAACATATAATTGAGAAAACAAACCCACATTTTCAAATATATTCTCGTTACACACGAATCGACTACCCATTCCATAATCCGATCGAATGCATACTGAGATTTTCACTGTGAAATCATTCACTAAATTCAATTATCAATACCATGACATGAGCTCGCGTAAATCAGGATTGGGTTTGCAAATTAAACGTAATTATAATCATAATAATACAGATAAAATTCTGGGTTCTGCATGGTAATTACCGTGACTCAACACAATGTTTACTGTGTGTGTGTGTGTGTGTGTGTGTGAGAGAGAGAGAGAGAGAGAGGATTTTCTATACATTTTCGTTGCCTTTTGGTTGCATGCAGAAGGAGAAGACAAGAAAATAAAAAGGTTACCTGAAAACTTAAAACTTTAGAGATCTGAATGAACGTCAAATCCCATAGCTATATGCAAACATTTTTGAAATTTCAAATTACTCCCCACTTTTTTCTATTTTCATTAGACCTCATGTGGCGGTTATTACTGTAAGCAACTCCGGACGTTCGTTTGAAACAGTCAAAATAAGACATCTCTCTCTCTCTCTCTCT